GAGAGAGAGAGAGAGAGAGAGAGAGAGAGAGAGAGAGAGAGAGAGAGAGAGAGAGAGAGAGAGAGAGAGAGAGATATATAGAATCTTTGAGAGAGAGAGAGAGAGAGAGAGAGAGAGAGAGAGAGAGAGAGAGAGAGTTGAAAGTTGCATGTACGCACGTCTGTGCGTCTCTCTCTACAATGAGTGAGTTTACTTAAAAAACAGCGATTTTATCGGTGTGTGCGTGTGTGTGTCAGTAAGCAGCGCATTAATATATAACGGTAATTAAAGGCTCTATTGCACACCAGTATAGGTGTGTGTATTGTAGGAGCTAGACGACATATGATGATGTGTAACGGTATAGTGGCGTTGTCCCATTTCTTAGGGAAATATTTTCACCCCTACCCCTTGGCACTCTGTTTCAAGGGACAAGGGGAAGGGGTATAAAATAGAACTGGGATTGGGCCTAAGTCTGTCGTCAATAGGACAAATGGAGTAAAAGAACGTTCGCTTTGACACGTTTGGTTTAAACGGCTCGTTCATCAGAAGGATCCCAGCGTAAGAAACAAGTGGATAGTTTATTTTTAATGGCATCCCGGATCATGTCTGAGGATTGATCAGAGCATTTTGTTTTGTAAACGAGGCACAGTGTCATAGAAAGTTGACAAAAGAAACACTTGTTGAAAGATGAAGCGGTACTAGATCTGACTGCAGCTGCATCACAATTCGTAAGTAAATGATTTAATAATGGTTTGTCTGGAAATTACCGTTTTATTTTGATTATGTTGTCAAAACGCATGCAAAAGCGAGGACGGGGAGTTGATACTGTTTCCTATGCAATGACGTTAGCCAATTATAACAGTGGCCGATTCCTGACGAGCCATAAATGACACACCCCTTAAAAACAGGTCGTTTCAGTGTTGCATATACTGTGTTGCATCATGCTAATGCACTGTATGAACCCTGCTCATGTATTTTATGACATATTTTCTCATTCATTTTTGCTTGCTTGCATAGGCAATCCGGATTGGTGCAAAACATCTTTGACCACTGTGCTCATGTAGGTTTTTTTTTTTTTTTTTGCGTCTCACACATGCATTACATATTTTCAAAATAACAGGAAAGACTGTGGGGAAACTGTATACTTTTATCATTCATCTGTGCATGTTTATGTAACATCTGTAAATAAAGGAAAGAAAATCAGCTACTACTAAACGCAATGGAAGGTGCTGTAGTAGCTTCAAGCAAAAACAAATGAACCTCAAACCGAAAAGAGTTTGCTAAAGTAACAGTATCTGTACCATAACACAGTAATCAACATGGGTTTGGCTTTTTAGAAACAATTTACTTTTAAAGCATCACATTGACTACGTCCACAAAACACTGATTATGCTGGTAAAAATATCAATCTCTAAATGGTTACTACGGTTTACCAATAAACTGTGTTATAATAGTTTCCATAATTTTACCTTATCTGATATGAATAGCAGTTATCATGTCTTACGAGTATTTTTCCAAATGTTTGTAATTTCTAAATAATTATGTTCAGTATGTCTGTTGATTGTGTGAACAGTCAACTCAACAGATCGAAAACTCAATCTGCCAATTTTATGGTAATTTATCAAGCTTAATGTCTGAATTAACCGCCAATAAAGAAATGTGATCATTATACTGAAAAAAATTAAGATTCTTACGTCTGACAGTTACAATGAATCTTTGGAACGAGGTTCCTCTGCTGCTGCTGGTCTGTAGTTTATAGACTCCATTGTGTTCAGCTGTGATGTTTGTGATGGTCAGTGATGCAGTCTTGTCTAGTTTCAGTTTGTCTCTGAATCTCCCATCAGTACCATCAAAGGTAGTGATCTCTCTGGTTTCGCTTTTGATTTCAGCTATGAGAGTCTCTTGAGGTCCAAACGTCCACAGGATCTGATCATCTCCCTGTATTTCAGCATCAATTTTTAGAGTGACAGATTCTCCCTCCATTACTGACACCGTCTTCTCTTCATCTGTTACAGCAGCACACAGAAACAGAGAAATGAGGAGAATGTAAGTGAATGAGCAAATTGACATGTTGTTAGGCACAGTGCGAAGCGGAGTGCCTAAAACCTCCTTAGCTGTTATAAATTCATTGTAAACCACGGCTTCACGAGGCTTATTGCTTTTATAAAATGGTTATTCCATATACGTAGTAAGGTTTCACAGAATAAAACAGAGCAAATAAAGTGTAATGATACAAGTAAAAACAGTATTCTTCCACCAAACAATGTAGTTCCTCAGAAACAGTTGTGGTTCCAACAAAGTGGTTGCCGAGCAACACACAGAAGTAAACAAAGGTGTATGTTTGTAGAGTAATTTACAACAGCTTTGAACACAGCTCAACCAATCAGAATCAAGGACCGGAACTAACCGTTTTATAATAATTGATAACAGTTTACAATAATGTTGTGTCTTAAAGGGGTCATGATTCAAAAACATGAAAACCCATTATAAACGAGGCATTCGTTGCATCCAGTGGGGACATAATTATGGATTATAATGACTTATACTGTCTTTTTACGCATTGCGTTGCATCGCGCCGCATAAACATAAAACCATGTCTGCATTTGTGATCGGAGAAATGACAAACAACAAGCCCTACTCTACACTGCCCAAAAAAACTCGCTTTAAATATATAAAATATAAAAACTCTTTAAATATAAAAGACTTTCACAACGAAGCACACAGCGTCTTTACGACATGGCGGCGGAAACAACAAAACTACAGCGAGAATAAAAGTTACGCCTTCTTTCTTTGCGTGAACATTTGGGCGGCGTTATGCAAATCTTCCCACATAGTGACCTAGATATGTGGGGGCGTGTTAGAACGAGCCGTTTTAGGTAGGTGTGGCTGACTCTTAACTTTTATAAAGAATATCTCTTTGGATTTGAGACTTTAGTCTTTGCAACTTTACAGATCTTATTTATGCACCAAGAGCTTGTAACACTCCAAAGAGAAAGTAAAAATTTTGAATCGCATCATATGCCCCCTTTAATAATACAAATTAAATTAGTTAAACTCTTGCTATATGAGTTGAAATACTTACATGTTTTGCACAGTTGTTCAGTGATCGTGTCTTCATCTGTCACAGCAGCACCTAGAAAAAGAGAAATGAAATTGTGAGAATGTAGATGAAGATGTGTGGTTCTTTACATGCTTCTAATAATCGGTAATCGGTATATTTAATATACACTCAGGCAGCAAAGGATATTTCCACAGAAATGTCAACTATACTGTTAATATTCCTTCATTAATAATAAATAATAAAAAAAAAACATTTAGTTAACCCAACAATGTAAATTCTGACATTATTTAATTGCCCTCATGTCATTCCAAACTTGACTTTGACTTTCATCTCTGAGACAGAAAAAATTAAGATTAATCAAAATCTTTCCTTTGGAGTTCTGCCGAAAAAATTTAAAAAAAAAAGATATAAAAAAAGAAAAAACAACAGCATGCAGGTTTCAAATGAGTTGAAGGAGAATAAATAATGAATCTAAATAATATTTGGTCACACTTCATTTTAAGGTCCAATTCTCGCTATTAACAAACGATTAACTACGACTTTAGCCTCAAACTCCTAATTTGCTGCTTATTAATAGTTAGTAAGGTAGTTGTTAAAGGGAAGATCAGATGCAAAATTCACTTTTACATGTTGTTTGAACATAAATGTGTCTTGGCAGTGTGTGTACACAACCACCCTATAATGATAAAAATCCACCCAGTGTTTTTTTAAATCCCCAAAAATCATAATCACTTTCTCAGATCAAGCTGTTCACAGATTCGTGGCAAATGGATGTCACACAGGCCAAGGCCTCTCCCATGACTATTGACGGGCATTGCCATTTTACCATAGACCCGCCTTGAGTGAGCTGTCATCAGTCTGCCATTGTTTGGACACCGGAGCAGGTGTAGACAAGAATGACTCCTAAGCGATTGAGGTGTTTGACGTTCTTTCTTCTGTGAAACTCAAAGGAATTTGTTTTGAAAAATGTTCACGATGCTCTTTTTAATACACTACCATTGACATGTTTAGAAAGGGCACCTAATATGCAAAATTCACTTTTACAAGTTGTTTGAACATAAATGTGTGTTGGAAGTGTGTGTGCACATCCACCCAATAATGATAAAAATCCACCCAGTGTTTTTTTTTTGTTTTAAATCCCTATTTTAAAATCCCCTTTCTCAAATCAAGCTGTTTTGAGATTCCTGTCAGAATGACGTATCTGCACAGGCCGCTCCCACGATAGTTGATTGACAAGTCCGTCTTACCTTAGACCCGCCCAAAGTGAGCTGTCCGCCATTGTGTCGACTCCAGTGCAGGGGAAGACAAGAATGTCTCAGATTAAGCAATTGAGGTGTTTTGTTGTTGGATGTAATAATGAACACAGCAGTCGTCATTTACTCCCGACATCTGAGCCGCTGAAGACGCAGAGGATGCGCCCCCCGATCTACATAAACGTGTCTATGTTCACGTGAATCATTCGTGATCCAGCTTCACCTACAGAAGAAGTGAGTGTAAGCTTTTTTTTTTTATGAATCTTTGCAAACCGCCTTTTCTAATAATGTGCTAGTTAGCAAAGTTCCCTGACGAATGTGGCTAAAGTTTACAGTCTCAGAGAACAGCTGCTCACCCCGTGGAAGAGAGGGGCGGGGTGAACAGAAGGATTGAGGTGTTCTGTTGTTGGATGTAATAATGAACACAGCAGTCGTCATTTACTCCCGACATCTGAGCCGCTGAAGACGCAGAGGATGCGCCCCCCGATCTACATAAACGTGTCTATGTTCACGTGAATCATTCGTGATCCAGCTTCACCTACAGAAGAAGTGAGTGTAAGCTTTTTTTTTTTATGAATCTTTGCAAACCGCCTTTTCTAATAATGTGCTAGTTAGCAAAGTTCTCTGACGAACGTGGCTAAAGTTTACAGTCTCAGAGAACAGCTGCTCACCCCGTGGAAGAGAGGGGCGGGGTGAGCAGAAGCTCATTAGCATTTAAAGGCACATGCACCGAAACAGGTCGCTGTGAACAGAGCTGTTTTTGACAAGGTAAAACGGGTGTTGTTTTACACTACCATTGAGAAATTTAAACCAAAGTATGCTATAGACTTTTCATGAAGACCACAAAGAATCGTACCAACTTGTGGAATATGGGCTTCTGATGTCCCCTTTAAGTTAAGGTATTGGGTAGGATTAGGGATGTAGCGTATGGTCATGCAGAATAAATGCTTTATACGTACTAATAAACAGGCAATATGTTTATAATAGGCCTGTTAATAATCAACTAGTTAATAGTGAGAATTGGTCCCTATATTAAAGTGTTACCTAATATTTTTATAAATAATCATATTTTAGTAAATGTTTCTAAATTATAATTTTTTTCTATATGCAATATATCTTATATATATACTTTCTATAAATAAAGTAATACTAATGATCAGATATGAAGTGATAGATGAACTCACTTACAGTGGTAGGAAACAAAAGCATTAAAGCAAAAAAAAAAAACACCAGTGCATCTCCATCTTCAGAGTTTATGTAATAGTGTCTGAAAGAAGAAGCTGAATGAAACCATAAACAGTGACAACAACAGTTGTGAGTCAGACAGCCCACACAAACCTCAAACCAGCCATAGCAAGCTTCATGCTACATTTCTCAGCCTTGCCCTTAGTTCTGTGAACTAAGATGTAGTTGTGGTCAATTCTGCATTTTTAACAGAAATTAGTATATTAATGCCATGCAACTCAGTATTGGACAATCACACATTATATTAATTATTGCATTAAATTGCAAACAGAACTTGTGGTAAGAAGAAAAAAAAAACGTAGAAATACCGAATATGAACACTCATACATAAGAACTCTGTTTTGCCGTTTCAGCTGTAATACTTACTCTCTTTTAACATTTGTTCAGAGATCTCTGGTTCTTGTCCTATCAGCACACATAGAAATGGAAAAAATAGTAGATCATTAGAGATGATCAACACCATTTTTTTTTTTTTATTATTTGACAACTGAATGTGCAGTTAAAGTGGTTATTTGGTGAAAATCTTCCTCTTTGCTCATCAGTCAATTACAATACTATTACGGTCCTTTAACAGAAATGTTTCTATTAACTATTGTGGCATTAAAAAGAGAGAGAGAGAGCTCAGTAGGATGGCATTTGACTTTTTTTTTTTTTTTTTGCTTGAACCATTCCTTTAAGTAAGCATAAACAACTAAAACTAATGAGCAGATAAGAGGCGATAGATTCATTGACACATGACATATCTTTTTCTTGTTTTACATATACATCTGTGAGGTGATATGAAGAGCCCAAGCAGACCAGCTAAAATTCAAAATGGACAAAAGAGAGCAGGATTATGATTTTAGGTCTTGTGCAACCTGTGCGATCACAGATGTTATTAAATACTGCAGTAAAACAATCATTAGCAGATCTTGTGGTAACAAAAATAACTATTGACTATGGAAAATCATATTATACATTTAAACTCTACTGTGGCATGATAAAGCTCATTTTACACTTGCTGTATGAGTTGTAATACTTACCCATTAAATGCTGTAGATCACAGATTCTGTTGCGATAGTAAAAAACAACAGCAGCTGCAGCTGCAGGCACCAGCAAAACAATAACACATATTCCTGCAATAGCACCCGGAGACAGACCTGGTACTGTAATGATAAAGAGAGACAGGAACAAACACTTTAAACATCAGCACTGCATAACCTGAGTGAAGATCTGATAACTACATCTCTGTTAATGATCGTTAATTTCATTTTAACATTAAAACAGTAGTGAAGATTAAACAATTAAAATAGTGTAACATTATTATCAGAAATCCGAGAACAGTGCGTATTTATCACATATTTTAAGCTAAGAATTCTTCTGGGAAAGACGTTTTGAGCTCTGAAAGTTAACGTAAAATGTCATGAAGTTTATTTGAAAAGGAAAATCTGATTCCTCATGATTAGGACATCACGTCATCTGAATTACAGACAGCTGATGAACAATCATTTCTTCAAACGATTTGAATCTTTCTAGAGCTGTTGTATAAAATCAACATCACACTTGCCATCATGCTGCTGTTCTGAGTATCAGTCATGTGATCACCTGCGGCCCAATCCCAGCTGCGATGATATTCAGAACAACAGCATGACTGTGATATTGTGAAACTAAAACTATGTAAGATTACTGAACACAGTGTAACTAATACGTTGTAGCTGCACCTTAAAAATCAGTTTAATTCAATTTCATTTATTAAGTAATACACATTTGAAAACAACTTACTAAAAAAAGTATCCTCACCAAAAACAGTAACATTGAACTTATTATATGAGGTCCCAGTGTTGTGGTTGATCTGTACTTCATAAAGTCCAGAGTGTTTGGTTCTCATGTTCTTGATGGTCAGAGATCCATTCTGATTATTCAGCTGCAGTCGGTATCTGAATATCTCAGTGTTATTTGACAAGGTAACATTTTCAGAACTGTCAGCAATGATTGGACCTTTAACTCCAAACCTCCACACTATCTTATTAATTTCCTGTATTTGAGTGAGATTAGCGTTTAGAGTGACAGAACCCCCCTTCATCACTGACACTGACTTCACTTCATCTGTTTCAGCACCAAACACACCTGCAGAACAAACAGAAACAGTTTCTCAGAGATTAAACTCATAGAACATTGAACAAATTTAACAGATCATTTAGTCTTGTCTTATAAACACAAGCTACAAATAAAGATTGGCGCAGTCCAACAAATTAATGAGAGAAAATCTCATTAATTTATCTAGAATCTATGGATTACATTTATTTATTTAGCAGACACCCAAAGCTACTTATAAATGAAAAATACATAATAAGCAATTCATCCTACACATGCAGTAACATGAGACAAGCTGTGATATAATGTTCCAGAGTGGTTTCAAAATGTACAAAGATTAGACGTTACAAGTAGAGTTTTTTGTTTGTTTGTTTCATGTTAATTACAATTGCTGCCTCTAATTATGGACAGACAAAGAGAAAGAAGGGATGAGGTCAACAGGATTGGATTTGTGAAGTAAAAATTATAGTATTTATTTAGTAAAAAGATCAAATCAGACCCTTGGGGTAAGATGACCCACCAGGGCCGCTGCTGGCCAAATGGGTGCCCTAAGCAGAATAGTATTGTTGTGCCCCTCCCTCAAAAAAAAAAAAATACTATAAGGGGTCAAAACAGAACTTTAATGAAATATAAAAGTAAATAAATAAATTGTAATTAAATTGTATTATTTATAAATTACAATTGTAGCTCTAGACAGTTAACTATAGCTATGATTTTATTAATACAGTTGTCTGATTGATTTTGTAGTCTCAAGCATTCAGAAATCACACAAAATAAAATTAAGCAGTTTTACTACGATAACCATGGTTAATTTTGGTAAGGGATGTGATGTCCACATGTTTTTGTTGAAGAAATTAAAGAGGCTGTAGCATTTCTATCGCAAAAAGGTGGCCAAAAATTAAAAATTAAGTGGATATTTGAATTAAATGTTTGGTCAATATTAAACAAGGATTTGATCGTCCTATAAGTGTAACAACAGCAATTATCAGGCCTTTAGTGCCCTTTGCAGGCATTTGTAATAATGTAAATTGTTTATTTTGTATTACATTATGTATTTTAACAGTGTTATTCAATGAAACCATATGATTATTATTAATTATAACCAATCGCCTCGTTGTTTTATATAATACATTTTAAGTCATGGAAACTAATATTAAGTCAAATGCGTTGTTGGTGGTGGTGAAATTATTACCAACATTAAAACACGTTACTAACGTCAACAGTCAAAAAAGTTTCACAGGATTATGAACGTATACCTAAAAGTGATGCACAGGCTTCTTCTCAGGCTTTTTCTTTTCTCTGCGCCGGACTGTGCTGATGTATTTTCCCTGATATAGCCTAGTTGTCCATTAACACTAGAACCGCCACGGGGTAAACTTTACCCGTGGCTGTTTTTAAAACTTACATCAAATATTTTTAATAAAACATTCAACTCTCCTGGTCACTGATGTTTACCAAAATTGTGTGATTTACAATCCCCTGTTGTTAAAAACTGTTTAGATAAAACCAGATAAAAAAACGGGGCATTTATACCTATAAGCGCCAGCGCAGGTCAATTTTACCCGCTATATCCACCTTTTTCTTGTCATAAAAATGGGCGCGGCCATTTGTAAATTCTATGGGTCTGGCTTCCGGTCTCATCTGCGTCCACTCCATCCAGCTATTTTTAGCTGAACAAAACAGTTAGTTTTGCTGCTTGATATTGAAAGTTGGTGTGTCTTATATTATTTTAATGTATTAGCTTAATTATGAACACACTGGTTTGTAGTGCAAACAGTTTTACCGTTTACTGCACGTTGTTATTCTCCTCGTTATTTACCTATAGCGGCTAATGAACCGGAAGTCTCACCTATAGGCTTACTTCCACGTTGAAGAAAAAGGTGGATAATGCCTGTATGTTTGCACTGTCATTTTCGTGCTGCTTATGTTTTAACATAGTACATTGCTAGGCAACACCTTTCACTCACTGAATTAGCGGCTATCAGTTTCATAAATAAAGACAAAATGAGTAAAAGAAGGGGATTTATGAATGCTGAAGATGTATAAGAAGCACTAAATGCCATGAGCGATTGAGAGTCTGATGGTGGGGAGATAAGTAAAGCGTCCTGTCGGCTCAGCATCTGACGGCGATCAATATCATATTTAGATGTTTTATCCTAATGTTACTCATAATTGTTCAAAATTTGGATTATTTAATTTTTGTTTTGCCATTTCTATTGTTTATTGTTCGCTTCTGTGTTGCTATTTATTCTAGTCTGCCTGTTTCCTGAAGAAAATTTCAATTTGATGTAGGCTATTGAATAAAACTTTTTTTTTGTATTATTACCCGAAGGTTAAAACCAGATCAAAAACGGGGCATTTATACCTATAAGCGCCAGCGTGGGTCAAATTTACCCGCTATATAATGCCTGTATGTTCGCGCTGTCATTTTCGTGCTGCTTATGTTTTAACATAGTACATTGCTAGGCAACACCTTTCACTCACTGAATTAGCGGCTATCAGTTTCATAAATAAAGACAAAATGAGTAAAAGAAGGGGATTTATGAATGCTGAAGATGTATAAGAAGCACTAAATGCCATGAGCGATTGAGAGTCTGATGGTGGGGAGATAAGTAAAGCGTCCTGTCGGCTCAGCATCTGACGGCGATCAATATCATATTTAGACGTTTTATCCTAATGTTACTCATAATTGTTCAAAATTTGGATTAATTATTAAATTTTTGTTTTGCCATTTCTATCGTTTATTGTTCGCTTCTGTGTTGCTATTTATTTCTAGTCTGCCTGTTTCCTGAAGAAAGAAAATCCGATCTGATGTAGGCTAATGAATAAAACCATTATTTTTTTTTTATTACCCGAAGTTTATTGGTGTTCTTCTTGTATAATTCAAATTATAAATGATATAACTAAACAAATGAATAATTAATTAGGTGAAGCCGCGCTTGAATTTGTCATCGCATCATCCTATGCAATGTGGTGAATTAGGCCTATTATTGCTCATTATTGTCTATAGGCTATTTTAGTCATTTAAATAACATAGGTTATCTTAATATATTGATTAATGACATTGTATTATAATAGCCT